AGATTATTTTCCTCATTTTTATAAATTTTATAAGGACTTTTCTAAATTTTCTGCAGCTAGTAGGTTGAATTAGGTCTATAGTGGGATATGGGCCTAGTTCTGTTTTATTCTTGTCTGGGACCTTAGATGCTTTAGTAATGTAAATTTATTTTGTCATAAGGAAGATGAATTAGAGAGGAAACAAACTAGAAGTGGAGAGACCAGCTAAAAGGTGGTGGTTGTGGGGATGAAAATGTCCTAACTGATTTGTGGTGACGGTTATATCACTCAGTGAAACTATTAAGTCATTAAATTATACTCTTGAAATGAGTAAATTTTATTTTATGTAAAATATGCCTCAATGAATTTGTTAAAAAAATAAGGTGAGTGCAAAAGAAAGCATATGAGAGACGGTGAGGGTTTGAGTATTAGCAGTAGCCTTGGGAAAATAGAGAGAAGGGGTGGGGTAAAAAGATAGCAAAGGTAACATCTGACAACACTGGCTACAGTAGGAATAGAAGATAATGTTGCAGTTGGCAATTTGCTTGACAAGATTTATGTTGTAGTAACAATGGAAACAGAATATAGAGAGAAGAGTATGCTTAGGTGGGAAAGTAAGGAGAAAGTTCAACTTTGAAACACTATTATTGAGTTGTTACTCAGATGGTTTCAATATTTCCCTCGGCTTGACTAAACTTTAGACGGGCTTCTTCCTGACCACAGACCCTAGACCACCATTTTCTTAGAGCATTTACTTTAGAAAACTTGCAATTGTAAATTCTTTCCCTGCTCATTTGAGATGTAAACCTTCTACAATCCAGAAATATTTTTTTCAAAGCCTAGGAGCCATCCCTGTGACATGTTATTATCAAGAAAGACAGAGGCGCTGTCTCCTAGTCTCTATGGGAGAATAGGAGCCTGACTTTAATAAGAACCAATGGGCAAACACAGATTGCCAAATCATATTGACCAACCTTCCTCCTAACACCCTCCAATACTTGCCCAGTAGCTGACTCCAGCATTCAAAAATTCTCCTGCCTTTCCTTTTAGCAGAGTTGAGTTCAATTTCCATCCCTTATTGCAACAGTCTTTCACAAAGCCTTCTTTGCTGATTTTAATCGGGTGCAAGTTCACTTTACAGTAGTTAACTGAGGGATAGCCACAGGAAGCTATCCAGTAAAAGGTTGGAAGAGTTTTGATCTAGTTGCTGAAGACAACTCAATCTCTTTTCTTTCCTTTATATTTAACTTCTTTAAAAACATTTAATTTTTGTGATCAAATATTTCTACAAGGCTTGTTGTGAAAAACAGCAGTCTTCTGTTCCTACTTGCTCACGATTTCAAGCTCCTTAAAGGCTTTCCACTCACTTAGCTGATTTTTTAAAATATATGCCTCATATCCCTCAATACCATGTTTGTATTGCTAATTCTGGATCAGTTTTATGCACCATTTGTTGGCATTATCCTTAGGACTAAGTTCTTGTTCATACAATCCCTACTCATTTCCCATCTCCCTGCAGAGTTATATTGTAAGTTGGATTAGAGCAATTTTCAGTTTTTACATAATTTTAACTATGAAAATACTTTGTGTGGCTAAGCTGTTAGTATAAAATTAATGATTTTTATTTCCTCTAGAATTAAAAA